AAGCTCAGCGTCAGCGCTGCGTGAGACCCTGTGCTTTTGTCTCCGCACCCCCTTTCGGCCGGAGCCCTTCAGCGAGACTACGCCGGTTGTCGGCTCTTTGATCGTGGCTGAGTTAGTGTTAGTGTCGTGGCTGGCGCCTGGGTGCAAACCCAGAGAATATGTTGGGGGACGGGAAATTCTGCAAAATTGCTCACCAAGGGGCAGCAGAGGGTTCTGCTTCTGCGACTCGTCTCCGAAGGAGATGACGCCAAAGATAGCCACCTCTACACCCAGACCCGAGGTATGCCGCGTAAGATTGAAAGGACTTCCCCATACCGCTTGCTTACACGGTCGATCCTCGGACAGAAAACCCTCCAATTCCACATCAGCTCCTATCAGCCAAGGGTGCATGACATTCTGCGGCTATTTTTTTCTGCGGCTAGCAGCTAAACTCTTAACCCCACACAGTCTGAAGACATTGGGCCAAAACATACACACGCTAACTGACATCGCCTGCAGTGGCATGCGGACTGCTTGGTTCGTGCCCTGCTTGAGGATGGTGGGGAAGGCGCCTGGAGCCGGGGCTTGGTGGGCTTTATGCGATTCCGGGTTTAGGGGCTCGGGTTTCAGAGCATGTTCAATGTCCGTCAGCGTTTAGGATGCAATGGCCGGAGGTATGGTTCAATTCGGTCATGGCCGAGCAAGCACAGATGAGACACGCATGCTCCCAAACCATGACAAGCTCCAAGCTATCCAGACCCGAAGCTACTGGAGCCCCATCCTGCTTTTCCTCCGGCAGGCTCAAGCCACTGCCAATGTTTTAGAACTTTTCGTAAGAGCGACCCGAGACCCTGAACTGTTCGTAGAGAATCTGCGAAGCGTTCCTGTCATCCCAACTTCAACACGAACCACCGAGATGCACCCCAAACTCTTGTGGATTTGAAGCACAAGTTGAGGTCGAAGACCCAGGTCGCCTCGGTACAGGCCGACGGGGCCTTCAGAACGCATAATCTTCACCTGGGAAGGCATAATTCGGAAGCGGATTCGGGTGTGGCATAAATTTGTAGGACGCAAGTGTCTCTCACTGATCCAGGGTCCCCGCGTCACATGTAATTTGCTTACAATTGAAAGCCTAATTTCCAAAGCAAGCAAAACCCAAAGATGGGCAGAAGCCTCTGATGATGAGCTTGAACCCTTTTCTAAACTTGTTGCAGCTTGCGCAAAAAGGCATCTGAGGATTGCACGATGGCGTCTGCTGAGCCCTGAGCGCATGGGCACGGAGCTTGCAACTAGGGGCTCCATTCAGCGGCCCAGTAGCACTCTTTCCCCGTGCGCATTTGCCGTGGTTGGTTGTGCGTGTGTAAGGACTCACATATACACCTTGCCATACACTTCTCTTTGCGCAGGAGATTAATTCAGGCTGCTTTCCCTCGACACACTTCAGTGACCCAAAGCCGCAAACGGCAGGAGGCCGCCCATTTCGCCCCACTGTGGCGTGCAAATGTCATCTGAAGCCGTGTGATGAACCTCAAAACCTAAAAGTCTCTAAGACCTTCAGCCGGCAAGAGGCTCAAAAAAGCCCGAAAACACTGCAAGGTTGATATCCTCAGCAAGGGAAACCGAAGCAAACCAATCCGAAGGATGCCTTGTAGTGGCCAGTACCCCTCCTCTGGTCATCGGTGACCCGAGTCTTGACAGTCCTGAGAATTTCACAATGTGACATGTCATGTCAATAAACTTCAAGGGCTTCAAACCCCGAACGTCCATTCCAAAGCCCTCAACTCATCCGACCAAAACCTGCCACCCATGTTATGACTCTCTGAGTGGTGTCAGAACCGTGTGCCCTCACGGCAAGGCAAGGCTCTCCACGGGCGTGACGGCAAACACAGCTTCACAAATCCCGGCCCCAAGGCCGCAGATCACATTCATGGACTGGCTGAGCTTGCCTTCCATTTGGAAGGAGCTCAAGGTCTACAAGTGGGTCGTCATGCTACAAGTCTAAGCTGGCCTACCTGCTCTAATCAAGTCCAGAACTTCGCATCAATCCCGATGCCAGCAATTGTGCAAAATGGCTGAAACTCGGGCATCTCCAAAAAAGCTTAGTGACTTGAGTCCTGGCTCCCGTGGTACAAGCTTCGGCTTAGGCTGCGAACGCCAACGAGTGTTGGTTTTCGTACCAAATGAGTGGAAACATCAACTCCAGAGCAAGAGGTCTTGCATGTACGTTGCAATTCCAAATCTCAATGATCAGGATTGAGCATGTCGGCCTGTTTCCTGGTCACGGAAGATCTGCGTGAGGTTGGTGTAAGCGCCCCACCTGGCTGACAGCGGCTGTAAGTCTTGGATTTGTAAGATGCCCTAAACTCTCTATACATCTTTGCAAGTATTGTCACCTTCTTCTGTCGCAAGAACCGAGCAGCTGAAGGACTTGGCTTCATATTACGAGGCTCAATCAAAAAAAGTCGAGGTCTTTATACTTTCTACCGTTGCAACAACTCCACACGGACACATCCTCGCTGCGCCTGCACATTTGCTGAAAGCCGGCACCGATGATCCGGACCTCAGGACAGCGGGGATGGCAAGACACAGGGCTGAGAGATGCAAAACCCTAAACCCTAAACCCTAAACCCTGAACCCTAAACCCTAAACCCTAAACCCTAAACCCTAAGTGCAAAAGGGCAGAAGTAGAAGGGTTCTCAGCGAAGCCGGCAGCCCGAGGTCCGCACGCCGGCTCCTCGGTAGAGGCCCTTAACGCCATGCTGATCAATGGTCCTCCGCGGCGCAAAAGGTTTAGGGTTTAGGGTTTCGGGTTTAGGGTCTAGGGTTTAGGGTTTAGGGTTTAGGTTTAGGGTTAAGGGTTAAGGGTTGAGGGTTAAGGGTTTAGGGTTTAGGGTATAGGCGGTTTAGGGTACTCTCCGGTCATCAGCACAGGCACGACAAAAGCACGAAGATGCGTCACATAAGCACACCAAGCGTCTTCTTGGCGCAGTCAATGATGCCAGAATACTCGGGGTTGGCCTTCCTTGAGCAGCCGCAAGGAGGTTTAGGAAGCCAACTAACTAAACGCCCTAAAATCGCAAATCTCAGTGGACCGAAAAAGACCAGAAGCCAGTGGTCAAGCCTGAAAAGGATGTCCGACACACCGACATGGGGCTTTACGACATTAGGGGTACCTTACTGCGGCCCTTGAGATAAAAGGGAGTCCCCTATGTTCGTAAACCTCCACATCAGTTCAATCCAAATTGTTTGGAGATTGACATTCCAATTCTGCATGGCTTGCAAAAATCCCTCGAAGTCGAAGAGGGCTCCTTTTGCAGACCCAGCTACGACTGCAGCTGCAATTGGGTTTTCACGTACCTGGGATGATTTTGGGATTCAGGTTTTGATTCGTGGCCGTCCTTCCGGCTTCGGGTTTAGGATGCTGAACGGCTTTGGAGTTTGATGCCTGCTAAACTCGAACTCCCAAATTGAGGGGAGATCTACACCCATAAAAAAACAGATGAAAACGTTTTGTAAATGTCGGGTCGCTCTGTGGGGTAGGTGATGGCTGCTTGCGTGCCTCCCGTGAGGAAGCCCTGCAGGGTGCACCACGGCTCGTGGATGCGTGTGTACGTGTGTGTGTGTGTGTGTGTGTGTGTGTGAATTCCAAAACAGGGAACTGCCTACTACGCTACATGTGGTTGATCTGGGGCGTGCGAATTTCAAGATGCAAAGCTTCCCAACAAAGGGATGTAAGGCTTGGGGCTTGGCAGGGTCGTTTGGCGCACTTACATTCTATGAGTGCACGGTCTGATCGCGGCAGAGATAGGCTCCTTCACCACCGTCTTCACGCCAGAGTCTTTCTTGGTAACAAACGCCATGGGCACAGCACCAGAACTACCTCAAAATTGCGATGGCGGCTAAGCTGCAAGCCAAAAAGTTCAAGTCATCAAGAAATGAAACTTTAGCATCATGTCCTCGGTGGAGCAGCAACTCAGGCATCACAAATGACACAATCTGTCTGCGAGAGGGATGACTAAGCAAGATCGCAGCTTGATTGTCGTTAGCTGGCAGGAAATGCCGCACATTTTAATGGACTGCAACACCGTACAAAGACCAATGGCCATTGGAATTGGACCTGTGTTGTGCGGGTTCATCACAATATTGCCAGCAGCTTCCAAATGCGACACACCATTCAAAAACGGATTGCTTGAAAAGCCAGCCGACTTGCATCTAGAACAGCACATGCAAAAAACATGCGCTAGCCCATACTCAACACTGCTGTTGCGGACCCACGGCGCGTGATACATCTTCTTTTGATAGAAGCTGAATTGTTTGAGCAGGTTTCCGTGGAATTGCTTGAGAAACATGTTCTGGTAACTCGCAGTAGTGGGAAAACACCGCTTGTTTCGGAATGGTGTCTGTAAACCAACTGAAGAAAATCAACAAAAATTTCCTCCCACCTGCCAGGTCAAACAATGTAAATACTTCCACCTCGCCGACCCTCTCAATGCAAATCTTGGCCGGCCGATGCTTCCACTATATTAAAACTGCACATGTGTGTGTGTGTGTGTGTGTGTGTGTTTAAGCCTCTCTCATAAGAGCCAGGGCTTGTTCTTCTGACGTCCTAGCTTTGGTGAACCGCCACTTTGCAAATTATGTCTAGAGCAGCGGATTTCTGGTTCACTCTAAACAGAAAACTCTGCGCGGCCGGCGTCCCTTATCAGCAACACTGGCGTGCAATATCCTGCAAGAAGCACCGTACCTTAATCAACAGTAGCACTGGGACCCTGTATGTCTACTCAGGAACCGAAGAAGTACTGCTGGCTGCTCTAAGTTCTAACTTCTGTAGCCGGAAGCAGCGCTGGCCACGGTGCCCGATCCAAGCTTCACAACTACACGCCGCCGCTCTTTTGCAACAGCATGCCGCATGCTAGCACACATGGATGCCTGTCAATCGTACGGGTCCTTCACGTCAGGCAGCTGTTTGCAAGCTTTTCTACAGCCGCGAAAACAGGGCCACTCACACTGAGACAGCTGGCTCAAAGGCCAAGCAATTTTCGGCTGACTGCCACAAAGGCACTGAACGTTGCAGCGATCGCCAATGCTGTGGCAGTGGTCAGTGTGACGCCCAAGACTTTCACATCCTGCGATGAGTCCAAGCGGGTCCGCTGGTAGAGCTGGTTCGCCATGGACACCGTCCGCTGAATTTGTTGCTGCTGCCCCGGATTCGCTAGGCCCGGCTGCTGCAGTGCAACCTGGCCCTGCAGAGCAAAATGAGAGAGCAGCCTCACTGAGCTCACTTTCTCCTTGTTGACAAGGACACCGGCCACAAAGTATGGCACAGCACCAGTGACGTACGCCATCAGAAAGGTAAGCGCGATGAGGTAGAGGAGGCCATGTTCCAAAGCGTGCATGAAATCAAAGCTGAAAGTAGACATCGGAAGTGTCAGCACCGCTGCCGCAACAACTTCCACGTCCATCGTCAGCCGCATCGCAGAGTAGCGTGCCAGGCATAGCTCGTGGACTTCTGCCCAGACAAGCAGATCCGACGGAACCTCCACACGCATCACTGGAAGAACATGTTCAGCAGCCACTTTTTGGCCACAGAGAGTGGCGTTCAGAGTCTTGAGTTTGGTAAATCGCTTTGTCAAAGCCTCGGCCCTGGTGATCAGTGCCGTCATGGAGTGGAAGAGACCGCTCACAAGCAAACCTGCAGACAGGCTCAACATCAGCGTGATGCTCCAGCCATGGCGCAGTGGGGGAATCCACCAGGCCAGAAGACATGCTCCTGCCCCGAGGCAGAAGAAAAGCACTCGCAATAGCAAGAGCGGCAGCCATATCAGCAGCAGCTCCACGAGCGATGAGCGACACGGAAAGCCGACGCACATCTGCTTTGCAAAGACTGCGGCATCCATGGGACCTTCCAAGCCGCGGACGTAGCTAGGCAAAAGGCCCTTTGGTCGGGCAATCTCTACCGTATTGGGAACACTGAGCGTGACGTTGGACAAGCTGTTGAGCTTGTCCTCCTGTGCCGAGAACCAGTCGGACGCTGGGAAGGATGCTGCAACGCAGCGAATACTCTCAATACCAACCACAGCGTGCCGGGCATCTGTCTGCTGAGGCAAGAAGAACTTCAGGTCTCTCATGAAATCAAGGGAGCGGAGGTCGTTGTACAGATCTGTATAGGTATGATACTCCACATCAGTCCACCCGCTACAAGGACCCCACTTTGACGCAGCGAGGGGCTGTGGTGAAATCGGAGGAAGGCTCTCCAAACAGTGCTGGGTGGCTGCCTGCTCCAGCTGCTTGATGACCTCATCTGGCTGGCCACATTCACGGGCCACAAACGCCAGAAGGCGCATTGCTTGGTGCTGCATGGCTTTGCCGGACTTCTTGGGCTGGGCCATTCTGTCTGCAATGGTGCCAGGCACCAAAAGACTCAGGGCCACCAAGGGAAACCACATAGCAAAAGGCTCGCGGGCACTCTGGTGCGCAGCAAACATGAAGAACGCAACACCGCTCAATGCCATGGCAGGTACTGCACTGCCTGGCAAGCACAAGGATTCAGCAAACTGCAAGGCCGTCTGCGCTACGCTTCTGCTGTCGCTTGCGAGAGTTGGTCGGAGCCACTTCAGCACAAGCAGCACTGTGGCCGCGCAAGCAAGCCTTGAAACCGTTCAGGGGTTCATCCAAAGTGGTTCAAGTCTTCTTCGAAAAGTGGGAAGACATCATTTTTGGTCTAGAAGGGTTCACGTCTCCTAACCATACAACATGATTTCCAACAAGGGCCCAGCAGCGGGAACGCGAGTCGAAGCGCCAGGCTCAAGAGCGAGGCCCAAGGCTGCACCGGGAGATGCGCCGGCGTATCCGGCGCACCCAAGGATCTCATGGCGCAGGAGGCGAACCCTCCACCACAACCGTCCCAAACACACCAGCCAGGGTCCCCGCTGAACTGACTGTCAGAAGGAGACTCTTCTGTGAACCCTAAGAAAACAAGGGGGCAAGGGCCGTACCCGGGAACCTTAGGACCTACAGCCCAAGGCACTTGAACCAAACACGCCGGGAGGGCAGCGTGCAACTCGCGGAGTGCAGCCGCGATCGGACATGCAGCACCTGGACACATGCCGAAACTCGAAGTAGCCCATGAATCAAGCTCAGAATTTCCTGAGCTGGAGTTATCCCAATTCTTCGGAAATGGACGTGAAGACTTAGTTCCCTGACCCTTTCAGAATGGTCCGGGCTTTCCATTCAGAGGCTGCAGCTACTCCTCCTAACCGGCCACTGTTTGTTTCTTGCACGACTTGCACCCTTGGACAGTCGCTCTGCTTGTTTCCCAGCTTGGGCTATGATGGGTTTAGGTGCATGAATCGAAATACGCCGCAACAAGGGCCCGACATCGGCTTGACATCGTCATAAAATAAAGGCCCTGTCAAGGGATCTCCTTATATTGAATCCTACCACCCTGTTTTGAGAAATCCCCACAGTGAGCTAGAAGCGTCACGAGGTACGATCACAAAAGAGCCTGTGACCGCTGCAACGCGTGAGCGACTTTCTCTAGGATCCTTGAGCCAAGCAAGACAGGTTGCTTCTCCCAAAGAAGCAGGAATCCTGCAGAAAACAGAATCACACGGTTTTGGGAATTTTACTACAGCCTTGAAAGGGCTCCTCAAGTCTACACTCTTTGCTCAACGGTTTCACAGCAGTCTGCCGGCGTGAGAACGAGATCACCTGGCGGCGCATTGGCATCCTGCCAATTCTGGCTTTCACTCACATTCTCCAGATATGGCTGCTAGCATAGCTGCTCTGGATTTTGCCCCAGATCTCCGTCAAAGGCAAGCTGCGCATGCTGATTGCCACTACAGTACTCATGGCTGAAGCCATGGCCGATGCCGTAGCCGCCGTCAACCTGATGCCCAAGATGTTTATATCCTGTGACGAGTCGGATCTGATCTGCTGGATTAGCTGGCTCGCCATCGACACCGTCTTCTGAATCTGCTGCCGTTGCACCTCATCCGTCAGGCCAGGCTGCTCCAAGGCAATCTGGGCCTGCAGGCCGAACTGAGAAAGCACCGTCAATGTTCTGGCCCGCTCCATATTGACCAGGACACCAGCCACAAAGAAAGGCACGGCAGCAGCGATGTACATGAGCAATGAATACAGCGCAATCAGGGACAAGAGACCAGGCTGCCAGTTCTCTTCCAGTGCGAAGCAAAGGGTGCAAGTAGCCATTGAGAGCGCTAGAACGGTTGCTGCAAGAGCTTCCATATCCATCCTGAGTTGCCTTGTAGCGTGGCGTGCAAGGCACAACTCTTGCACCTCTGCCCAAACCAGCAAATCTGACGGAACGTTCACACGCATCACTGGAAGAAACTGTTGAGAAGCCACATGGGCACCACAAAGCATCGCATTAAAGGCTTTAAGCTGTGCCAATCGCTTTGTCAAAGCTGAGACCCATAGAAGAAGCTGGGCCATGCAGCTGAGTACGCCATCGACGAGGCCCCACGCCACAAACACTCCGAACATTAGCTTCTTTTGGCGTCCATCAACCCAGGAAAAAAGACGCCACGCCAGCCCACATGCCCCCACTGAAAAGAATAGGAAAAGGCCGCATGAGATAGAAAACGGCAGACCAATCAACACTTTTTCAAGCAGCGATAGACGGTTTGGCGGTGAAATGCACATCTGGTTTGCAAAGTCTGTGGCGGCCATGGGACCTTCTAAGCTGTGGAAATAGCTTGGCAGAAGCAGGGGCTCTGCCGTGGGCACCTTCTCACTCTTCATGCAGAGCATGACGTTGGACAAGTTGTGAACCCTCTGCTGCTGGTTCAAGAAGCGATCGGATGACGGCCAAGACCGAATCACGCCCTTGATGCTGCGAATCAACACCTTCCCACTGGAGACGTCATCACCCGAGGGCAACTCGATTTGCAAGTCTTCTATAGTCTCTAGTGAACTGAGTTCTTTGTAGAGCTCTGCATAACTTGAGTGCTTCACCTTGCTAGTCAAGATAATCTTGCGTTTGCGGGCAACGTATCGACCCGCAGAGATGTTCTCCAAGGAGCTGCGTTGCGTTGTTTTCTCCAGCTGGCGAATTGTTTCGTCGGACTCTCCACATTCCCGGGCAATAAGCACAAGGATTCGCATGAACTTTCGGTGCATAGCACCATTGAAGTCCTTGGAGAGAGTTGCTATGGAGGCAACATTCGCAGGAATCGACAAACAGGAAGCCAGCCAGGGAAACCACACCGCACAGGGAGGCCCAGTGTGGCGATAACTGGTGAAGGCGTAGTAGCCGCCTATGTTGCATGCCATCATGAAAGGCACTGCCACGCCCAACAAGGCCGCGTAGGATTTGAAAAATACCTTAGTTTGCGCCACAATTGCCAAGTCCTCACTTCCAGGCGTGGGCTGGAGCAACTTCAGCTTCAGCAGTGCCGCAGTGACCAAGTAAGAGGCGGGGAACAACAGCCGCAGTGCCAAGCAAATTAGCACGGTGGAAAGCTGCACCGCCGGAGTTGTCGGGCTGTAGAAATCGCCCAAACCAAGCGGAGGGTATGCGCTTGTCCACTCGCTGTTCGCCTCCTGTTTTTCCGCTTGTGGCTCGGAAGCTGCCATGACGAAGCATGTACTAGCATTTCTCTAACAACCAATGGCTGAGGAAGGACAAAGCGGTTGATGTGAAGCTGTGTGAGGGTCTGCGCAGTACCTATTCACCATACAGACATTTATTGAAGAAGAGGTATGAGTCTATACGCATAGAAGACTGCAATCAGGGTTTGGTTGTTTGATTTTGGGGATCCCTCTTCACAATCACATATCGCCACTTGGATCCCCTGAAAAGCCGATGGCGCCCTTGTTCTATCTGACACTTGGCTCAACAAGCATGCGTGCACGGACGGGTGCCGGGTGCATCATAGCTCGAGCGCGGCTTCCATCAGATCCCGGCCCCTCCCAAACTCGCAAAAGCCTCTAGAACCCCGAGGAAGGCCTCAGTGCCATGTCTTGGGGCCTTCCTTCAAGAGAGGGGACGGACTTTGCCCCGCGGAAGCGTTTTTTTTTTGCTTAGCCGTGGCTGTGAGACTTTTCGAGTTCGTTTTTGCTTAGCCGTGGCTGTCTCCCTTGGCCATGGCTAAGCAAAAAAGAAACACCTCCAACCTTGGCGGGAGCGTCTTTTCTGCTTAGCCGTGGCTGTGAGGCTCCCTTGCAGCCAGGGCTAAGCAAAAAAAACCACCTCCAACCTGGGCGGGAGCGTTTTTTTTTGCTTAGCCGTGGCTGTGAGGCTTCCTTGCAGCCAGGGCTAAGCAAAAAAAAACACCTCCAACCTTGGCGCGAGCGTATCTTTTTGCTTAGCCGTGGCTGTGAGGCTCCCTTGCAGCCCAGGGCTAAGCAAAACATAAACGCCTCCAACCGCCGTGGCAGGAGCGTTAAGTTTAGGGTTTAGGGTTTAGGGTTTAGGGTTTAGGGTTTAGGGTTTAGGGTTTAGGGTTTAGGGTTTAGGGTTTAGGGTTTAGGGTTTAGGGTTTAGGGTTTAAGGTTTAAGGTTTGGGGTTGAGGGTTTAGGGTTTAGGGTTTAGGGTTTAGGGTTTAGGGTTTAGGGTTTAGGGTTTAGGGTTTAGGGTTTAGGGTTAGGGCTTAGGGCTTAGGGCTTAGGGCTTAGGGTTCAGCATCTCAAGTCCGAGCTTGTCAAGCAGCTTGTCAAGCGTTGGAAAAAAAAAACCCACCCACCCAAGAAACCCATAACATTGAGAAAATACAAAGTTCACTCAATACATTCCCAGTAGTTAATTTTTAACGGACCCAAAACCCGAAGTCTAATCTAAGGCCCACAATAGGTCTTTATGCTCTTAGGGCCTGAAACCCTACGGTTTAGAAGCCCCTATCGGTCAAAGCTCGGTTTTGGTCAAAAATCCAGAAAACGAGAGGCCACCCAGAACCGTCGATTTCAGTACTAAAAAATCGCATTTTTAACTGGGACCCAGGCCGATCCTGGGGTCCCTCCCCCTCATTTGGGGTGTTTTTGGAGGCAAACTTTCCCTCCCAAGGGGGGGTCGGAGTTTGAGGTTTAAAATTGAAAAATGGGGACCCGAGCCGATCCTGGGGTCCCCCTCATTGGGGTGCTTTTGGAGGCAAATTTTCCCTCTCAAGGGGGGGTCGAGTTTGAGGCAAGGGGGGGTCTCCGAAGACTATTTTGCGTTTAAAATTGAAAAATGCGACCCCCCCCTTGACCAAAACTAGGAAAAGGCCGCCCCCATTCATCAGAATTGAGGGTTAAAAGCCCTGAAACATCCTGAAAAACATTGAAAAACCTAACAACTCTGAACACCTTGAAAAAAACTCGAGGAAAAGGAAATTCACCATTGCCCACTTTTGAGGCCGAAATTCACCGTTGCCCACTTTTGACGCCAGGAAAGTCACCGTTGCCCACTTTTGAGGCCAGGAAAGTCACCGTTGCCCACTTTTGAGGCCAGGAAAGTCACTGTTGCCCACCTTTGAAGCCAGGAAAGTCACCGTTGCCCACTTTTGAGGCCGGAAAGTCGCCGTTGCCCACTTTTGAGGCCAGGAAAGTCACCGTTGCCCACTTTTGAGGCCAGGAAAGTCACCGTTGCCCACTTTTGAGGCCAGGAAAGTCACCGTTGCCCACTTTTGAGGCCAGGAAAGTCACCGTTGCCCCCTTTTGAGGCCAGGAAAGTCACCGTTGCCCATTTTGAGGCACCGTTGCCCACTTTTGAGGCCGAAAATCACCGTTGCCCACTTTTGAATTGGGGTTTAATTTCATTATGATATTAGGGTTTAGGGTTTAGGGTTTAGGGTTTAGGGCGTGCTAGACGGGAGCGCGCTTTGGGAGCGCGCGGTAGTCTGCAGACCTACCCACCCCAAGACCGCCCACTTACAACTCTCAAGGAGTTAAGACCTTTTATTTTTTTACAAAGCAACACGTGAGTCAGCACGGGGATTTCCACAAGGTGCGTGGACCAAGCGCAAAGCTGCAGCAGACGGAAACGAGGCAGGGCCCGTGAAGACAGCTTGGGTTGGGGCGAAGGGGCTGGGGGATGGGCCAGGAACAGAGAAAGGCAGTGAGGCTTGGTTGGCGCGAAGGGGCTCCAGCCAGGGCAAGGGCCAGCGCCAACACCAGGGCCAGGGCCAGGGCCAGGGTCACCAGGGTGAGGGCCACACAAAGGAAAGGGCAGGGCCAGCGCAGGGTCAGGAACCAGGCCCAGACTGCCCAGCAGAGGCAAAGGGCCAGGGCGGAGGGCCGGGGCCAGGGCCAGGGCCAGGGCCAGGGCCAGGGCCAGACCAGGGCCAGGGCCAGGGTCAGGGCCAGGGCCAGCACAGGGGCAGGGGTGAGGGTCAGGGCCAGAAGGGCCAGGGTCAGCCAGAGCCAGGGTAGCAACCCCAACAAAACGGCCCCTGGTCCCCTCAGCCCAGCGGACGGACCAGGGGTCTCAAGGGGCCGTCCCAGGGGGCCCTCCAATGCAGGACCCCACCAGGTGCGCGGACAGCTTGGGGTTTAGGGTAAAATAATATAATACAGTGACAACTGCTGACTCGGCCTGTGCCTGCCTGGAGGGTAAGCCAGCCTGGAGGCCAGCTCGGTCGCCCGCCTGGGGCTCCCTCGCAGGGTCTCACTGAGCGCTCGACCAGCGCCCGCCTACCCCAAAAGACAAGAGAGTGTTTAGGGTTTAGGGTTTAGGGTTTAGGGTTTAGGGTTTAGGGTTTAGGGTTTAGGGTTTAGGGTTTAGGGTTTAGGGTTTAGGGTTTAGGGTGTGTCAGGGGAGGGCGCGCGCTCGGGTGTGAAACACCCCGGGCCGCGCGCTAGCGTTGCCCGTCAACCCACCCCGGCCACCCAAACTATACTCTATTAGGGTTTAGAGTTTATGGAATTTATTTTCTCGTGCCCTGATGCTTGCTTTGATGTTTTTGAAATTGCGCTGTTAGGGTTGAAGCTGGGGTTGGGGTCAGGGCCGGTAGAGGCCCTCATTTATTTGAAGGTCAGGGAAACCGTTTGTGCCTGCTCCTGGATTCCCCTTCTTAAGGTCCTCAGGCCGGTGGCTCCGGGGGCCTTCTGGGGCTTCTTGGGGGCTTTCCTGGCCCTTCCGGGGTAAAATGAAGGGGTGCCCAAAACCATCGATTTCAGTACCAAAAAATTCGCAGTTTTCATTGCGGGTACGGGCATCCTGGGGACTAGGGGCCTTTTGAAGCCTTTTGGTGGCTCTTGGGGTCTCTCACCCTGTTCGGACCTTCGGCGTGTCAGGGGCCGTAGAGGCTTTATGCATTTGAAGGTCAGGGAACCTATAAAGAATTATTCGCCAATGCGAAAATCAATCGCTAGGGATTAAGCTGGGGTTCGGGGTAGCCTCGGCCCTTTTCGGGCCTTCGGCACGTTAGGGCCCGTAGAGGCGCTTATTTGCTTGAAGGGCTTCGGTTTTGCGGTGTTAGAGTTTAAGCTGGGGTTCGGGGTACTCAGCCCTTTTCGGGCCTTCGGCACGTCAGGGCCCGTAGAGGCCCTTGCTGATTTGGAGGCTTCCTGGGCTTTCCTGGTCCTTTTCGGGTGAAATGCAGGGGTGCCCAAAACCATCGAGTTCAGTACTAAAAAATAACATTTTTCATTGCGGGCAGGGGTGCCTACAACCATCTTCTTCAAAAATCATTGCGGGCACGGACAATCTTGCGGTCCCCCTTCTTTTAGGGGGCCTTTTTGGTGGCTCTTGGCGCCTCTTGGGGGCTTCCTGTAAAAAAAAACATTCTTCATTGGATGGCCCTCTTGGCGCGGGGCCAAAGGCGCGGGGGCCTTCCTCTAGGAACCCGGGCCCTTCCAGGCCTTTGACCCTGGAATTCCAAGGTTTGGTCTCAAGAAAGCCCTTGTTGGTCCGCCCAAGGGGTTGGCCCGAAGGGCCCTTGGCCGGGAGGGCCCTTCTTGGGCCGCCTTGGCCTAGGGGGGCCCAGGAAACCCTTGGCCCAGGTCAGGGGGTTTTGGACAGGGGCCATTGGCTTGGCGGCCCTTGGCGTGGGAGCCTTGCGTCGGGGGCTCTACGCTTTGGGTGGCCGTTGGTTGGCGCCCTTGGCTCGGGGCGTCCTGCCTCCCAAAATCACAAAATTGAGCAAGCAGCCTGCCTGGACCCCTGGCCAGCCTCCTCATCCAGGCGGCCGCCGGGGGGGCCCGGCAAACCCTGAACCCAAAACCCTGAAACGACCTTAACCCTCACCTTGTCCGTTTCTCTTTTCGCTTGCGGGCTGTAAGGCCCTCGGCCGAGCGTTCGGGGTCTGTCGCTCGACGGAAGCGACCCCTCACTTAGTTTAGGGTTTAGGGTTTAGGGTTTAGGGTTTAGGGTTTAGGGTTTAGGGTTTAGGGTTTAGGGTTTAGGATTTAGGATTTAGGTTGTAGGGTTTAGGGTTTAGGGTTTAGGGTTTAGGGTTTAGGGTTTCGGGTTTGGGGTTTCGGGTTTAGGGTTTAATGTTTAGGGTTTAGGGTAGTTTAGGGTTTAGGGTTTAGTGGCGCCCAGGCGGCCAGGTGTCCAGAGCACCAACGGACAAGCCTGTCTGGAACCCACACTGAGGTTTGGCGTTTAGGGGTTTAGGGGTTTAGGGGTTTAGGGGGTTTAGGGGGTTTAGGGGGTTTAGGGGGTTTAGGGGGTTTAGGGGGTTTAGGGGGTTTAGGGGGTTTAGGGGGGTTAGGGGGGGGGTTTAGGGGGTTTAGGGGGTTTAGGGGGTTTAGGGGGTTGGGGGTTTTAGGGGGTAGGGGGTTAGGGGGTTTAGGGGGTTTTAGGGGGTTTTGGGGGGTTTAGGGGGTTTAGGGGGTTTAGGGGGGGGTTAGGGGGTTTAGGGTGCTTCCGGGAACCAGGCCGTCGATTTAGTGGTTAGGTTTTTTAAGCTTTATAGGGTCTAGGGCACCCGCACGCGGATTTCAAAAAAAAACTCTAAACCCTTACTTAAACACTCACCCTACTCCCCCCCCCCCATTTGTGAAGTTATTCTATAAAACCTTTGAAGCAAACTTGGACCACGCGGACCACGGGACCACCCCGCCAGCGGCCGTCCGACCGTCGCACCGTCTAAGCGTCTGACCGTCCGACCGCCAGACCGTCCGACCGTCCGACCGACCGTCTAACCGTCCGAGCGTCTGACCGTCCGACCGTCTGACCGTCTAACCGTCCGACCGTCTGACCGTCCGACCGTCCGACCGTCTGACCGTCCGACCGTCTGGCCGTTTTTTTCACTTGTACACATGAGAGGCATTAGCCGTGGCTGTGGAAACCCTTGCAGCCAGGACTAAGCAAAAAAAAGACGGGGCCCGACTTTGCCCGGGAAGCAATTCGCACAAAATTCCTTCTCTCGCAGAGCAAAATTTCGCACAACGAAGTCGAATCTCAACAGTCTGTGGGCCTCAGATTGGCTTGCACTTGGTTGGTGGGCAATAGCACGTGCCATGATTACCATACTTGCAGCCCAACTTATAAGCACCCATCATCCTCCGAGTAGTGAAGGATCCCATACTGAAGGGGCCCAGATCTGCGGGTCTCTCTGTGAAAGTTCAGCCCGGCGACCAACTCATTCACGAAACGCTACTTTCTGCTTTCACGCCGCAGCCATTCAAGGAGAGGTTCTCACAAGTCCGCACCGAAATTCAGAACAGCATGGACGATTGCAACGACGATGACAAGTTATGACGGAATCTCAATCTCTGAATTTCCAGAGTTATGACCCAGAGCTTCCAAAACTTCTTAATTAAGGAAATGACCTTTAAATCAGGCATCTCTCTCTCTCTCTCTCTCTCTCTCTCTCTCTCTCTCTCTCTCTCTCTCGACAGCGCTGAGCAAGTCAAAGGTCTGACTACTCGTCCGCAGCCCTTTCAGCTGGGGTTAGCGTAAAAACTCTATGTGACGCCATTCCCTACGACTTTGTGCAATGGGGTGCAGGTTTCGCCAAAGATCCGTATTGCCGAAGAGTGGTGAGTGTGCTTGCGCGATATCCGACGCGGTGAGGTGCTGGTAAAGGGGGTCATTAATGTGATACGGTTTAGGGACGGGATTTGGAGATTGTCTAGCTTGGTAACGCTGGTACGCTTGTGTCATGGTGATTTCTGGCCAATGTAATCTAGGGTGCCCTACTCTGCGTCTATGTAATCTGCGATAGGCATGGGCTGATTGGAAAACGCTCTGTTGTCCCAAAGTTTGAACCAGAAGGCCAAGGGGTCTTGGGTTCATAAGGAAAGGCATGGCATGACATAACCCTTGCAACAAGTGTAACATGCGCACTCCGAAACGGACGTCACTTTTTCCAAGGCGTGTGTTGGGTCCCACCGATGCAGCATGCAGCCTACAGGCCTTGCACAAGAAGGTGTGCCTGGTGGCACATACAGCCAGCCACGGGCGTGGCATACTCCAGGCGTCCCAAGCCACAGGTGTGGCACAGTCAGGCATCCTTCCACTGCTCAAGTGTTACAGACCGGCACTTGCACCTTGTGCTCTCAGGGCGGAGAGGGTGGGTAACAAAATTTTTTATGCTTGCGCCACAAAGGCAACGAGGCCTGACATTTCACAAGTCAATGCATGCTGCAAAAACCATCTTGTGTGCATCTGAAGAATCCGAAGCGAGAAGCAACTTTCAAAGGACTTTTCAAAGCACAAGTTTTTCCCCCATCCCAGCCCGCCCTAGTTCAAACAGAGGGACAATCCCGTTGGGGGAACCCAAGTGGTTTGTCCCAAAGTTTGAACCAGAAGGCCAAGGGGTCTTGGGTTCATAAGGAAAGGCATGGCATGACATAACCCTTGCAACAAGTGTAACATGCGCACTCCGAAACGGACGTCACTTTTTCCAAGGCGTGTGTTGGGTCCCACCGATGCAGCATGCAGCCTACAGGCCTTGCACAAGAAGGTGTGCCTGGTGGCACATACAGCCAGCCACGGGCGTGGCATACTCCAGGCGTCCCCCCTTTAGCAGAGCATGCCGCGCCAGTGAGCCCAACCCAAACCTACCATTCCGTTTTGTCAAGCAACTTCTGCCTCTTAGTGGCCTTAGGCTCAATTTTCTTAGCAGCTGACATGGCTGCTCGTTCATCCCTGAAGGATTCGTAGTGCTCATGCAACTCGTGAAACAATCCCATTGGCAAATCTTTCAACGCAACTGTCACCCTTTTTGAAGGAACAAAGTTTTCCGTTTTCAAGTTAGTCAAATCGTCGGCATCCTGATTTTCTTCCCGTGGCCTCCAGGCAAGCTTGCAAACCTTATTAGCCTCACGAAGGGCAACCGACAACTGCATGTGGATCCCTTGCACGGGCCACTTGTTAGATAAACCCTTTGCAGCGATGGCCGGGGTGGCTTTGTTGTCAGTTCCACCGCACACCTGCATCTTCAAGGAGTCCCGCCCGGCAGATTTCTTCAAATGCCCGAATGCATGAAGCCCGACATATGAGCCGAGCAGCTCCGCGGCAGTGGAGGCCCACTCGGACGACCCATCAGGTTTGAAGAGTGCTGGCAAGTCATTAGGGAAAACCTCCAAAGCAAACCACGGTGCTTGCCTAGTATCAACCCCATGATCTAAGGACCAGCCCCCCAACACAATGCGCCCCCTTTCGCACTTAGCATCCGTCCGAAATGCCTGCCTCTGTTGCGCTGGCCAGGTCATGTGCACAGAATCAAGTCGAGCTCCTGATGAAAATTGGTGGCGGAAAAATCGAAGGACTAGCATCACCAGCTCGGGTAGGCGCGCCACTGTGCTGCGGCTGAGCACCCCGTTCCAAGCAAACAATGGTGCCAAGAAAGGTTTCAACCAAGTGATCATGCGTGTCACAAAGTTGAGACGTCCGGTGAACTCCACCAGCCGCCTGCCAGACACCATCCACCCGTCGGCTTCCACTCGATCGATCCATTCAATGATCCAGGATGCCCGCTTCTCCGAAATGCCAGCTGCCCACGTGAAGTAGCTGAGGTGATATCCAATGTAGTCCACTTCCACTCCCCCTTTGAACTTGTGAAAAGAGAAAGGAGTCCCCATCACTTCAAGGGCCAAGAAAAGCAGCCATAGGGTATCGTACTTATCGCAGCCAAACACCACGACGTGGAGATCATCCACGTAGATCAACATGTAGAATTGGTCCAAGGAAAGGACCCGGAAAGTCCACCGTCCAACGGCTCCGAAAAGGCGCGACCAGTAGTATGCGGCAGAGCTGACCCCAAACGTTCCAACGCAATTTAGCCAAAGCACGCGCGATTGCGAGGATGCCTTGCACGACAAGCGTGGCCAATCGGCCTCCCGCACCTTTACGCGTCGGTGCGCCTGGCTGATGTCGGCGCATAGGGAAAAAGGAGCCTCCTTGCTCTCCTTGACGCGTGCTGCCACCTCTTGAAGGTCTTCTGGTCCAGGAACCTGCAGTTTGTCTGTGATCACGATCCGGTTGTTTAGGTTGATGCCATGGGTGCCGTCATGTAGCGGCTGCACATCACCATTAGCTTTGGTCACTGCTCCCATCGCAGCGATCAGCACAGCGTCCTCTCCATATTTCTTCTTAGCCTCAGCTTCCGTGGTGCAGATCATCAGGCCTTCCCGTTCGTCTTGACGAAACTTCTCTTCCAACTGCTCAGCATTTAGTTCGGCTGACCGGTAGTTCACCATGGAGGGATCAAACTCGGTCTCGTCAAGCTTCCGGAAGTGCGTCCTCTTCGGGAACACCTGAGGAGCCCTGCCGATGGGCTTATCCCAACCAAGGGGCACCCCTTCTGCAAACGAGTCCTTCCCTTGGTCCAGGATTGCATAGTCAGGATCCCCAAACACCCGGAGCGACTGGGAAAGCATGTGCAACATGAAAGGTTGTCCTTGGGGAATCTGCATTGCCTGCTCAGGGTCTGGCAACAAAGCAGCAATCCGTTCCCTGACCTTAGCGATGGTGCTGCGTGAAAATGGTGAGCTCTCCATCCTCCCCGTGGCAAGCATGAAGGCAGCTTTCTTCCTGTCGGGGATGGCCTCCCGCAGCGCACTGACAAGAATCCTGCGTATGCTAAGTGAATGGCTGTGCTCGATGTCGGAAGCCAATGCCCCACGTGACTTCGGTCGCCACCTCCCCGGGGAGCACAAGCCAAATCCATCCACAAGTTCACGCCGGACCTGTGTGTGCCGACAACGCAAGGCCGGCCCACTGCAACGGGATGTGCGTGGGTCAAACTCTTGGGGGTCACCAACGTCCTCGCCATCGGGTTGGTCGGAAAGGGGAGCCTCAAATGCCAGCAGGATGGTCCCTCCTGTTGGGGTGCTATGCGGGGCCTTTAGAAGGGTTCCTCCTGTAGGGGTGCAAACCGAAGGGTCCCTAGACGAGGAAGCCAAACCAGGTGCCCAGGATGGTCCCTCCTGAAGGGGTGCCAAGGACGGGGCCCGGGGCCTCCAGGATGGTCCCTCCTGAAGGGGTGCTAGAGCCAGGATCAGGTGCCTCCAGGATGGTCCCTCCTGAAGGGGTGTTAGTAGCGTGGAGTTCATGTTGCTTTAATGCCATCGCCGGCACCGCTTCGGCCTCCCGATCAGCGAGCCCCTCCCCCCCTTGCTGTGGCAGGTGAGCAGATGGGGGAAGGACGAAGCCCAAAGAGAGGAGGTTATCACGCATGGGCGGTGACAGCGAGTGAAGGCGGGTGACTGGGAATCCAACTAAGAGAACTCGATCACCAGTCCACGCCTCGGTTTGATGGAAGCAGTTGTGAGCCTGGAGCTCCTGCGGAGCTTGGGCCACTGGGAGAAGAACGCCTTTGCGCGGGATGCCGCGAACCATGCGCACGACATGACCGTGGCTGCTTTCCATCCAAACCTGCCCATCTTGGAAAGTGGTCAAGGCAAGAAGCAAGTTGGGATAAGGCGCGTTGTGCACGTCTTTGTGCATAGTACTCTTGACGTTATTGAACACCACAAGGGAACTAAAGGGCTTGTTGGGGAAGGCATCACGCAGGAGCAAGGTGAGGCACTTAAGGGACTGAGGGAACACCCGGCAAGAACGGCGCAAACCCGTGATGCCACCCTTAGTGTAGGCTCCGCCGAAGAAGGCCTTGCCGCCACTTTGCTCCGTGGCCGCATCTGCCACTGCTGCCGGATGCGGTGCTTCGTATTCAAGCAGGCGTGCCAGAGCTTCTCCATCATGTTTCCCAAGCTTACGCGAATCGGACTGCTCTAGCAAGCATGTGGCGAACTGTTCAGCCGGATGGCCGACGTCGTCTGTAGCGCGCCCAGACAACTGCCAATCACATGCCATCTGCACCACATGTTCACAGAAGGCCAACGGAAGAGGTGTGTCCGTCTTCCAACTTCCATCGTGCGCTATGCCTGCGCCACCATGATGCAAATGCTCGCACCGGCCAATTGGCCCTACATAGGACCCTGTTGCATCGAACTGCGGCCATCTGAGCTGCGCCTCAGGGCCTGCTAAATTGGTTGCCAGCCTCGTGGGGTGAGGAAGATCGCCCCCGAAAGTGCACATGTGTACTGCCCATGTTGCCGCATGTTCATCACCTTCCACAAATGCACGAAGCTCATCAAGTTGCCAAATGCTAGCTGGCCTTTGACCCGAATGTAAAGCACCCAGATCTTCTGGGTGGACGAGTAGCCAACCCATGCCCGATTTGATTGCCGCTTTGATTACGTTGAAAGACTGCCGCAAGTAAAAATTCTCTTGATCAACAGCAGCACGCGACCTCTCTGCCAACCAAGGAAAACCAAAAGGATAAGTGTGCGACCTGGAAGGACCAGGCCCATGCCGCCCTGTCCTGCGGTGCTCTCTTGCACGACTGAACGTCTTGCAAGGCGGCGAAAGCAAAACAATATCCCATGAATGTTCATGAATCTCGGTGAAAATGCGATCCCATGCCTCTGGTTTAAACCATGCATCATCATCGCAATCAAGCAGGAAGCCAACCTTAAGCTCGCTCCCCGTCCTCTGTGCTGCATTCTTAAAACACACATGCATCTGCTCGTTTGCGCCGTGACTGCCGAAGCCCACCAAGACCCTGAGTCAGTGCTTCGGAGCATCCGTTGTCTTGCCAGAGTGATGCTGTTGCCAATGTTGCCACGTAGGATGTGGCCCGTGGCATCCTTTGACCATGCAGCAGTGTACCATGCCGCAGTTTCCATCACATCCTGGCCCGGAGTAGTCAAAGCAGATCCACCTCCCGTCTGGCGTTCGAGTGGTGGTGACGCTCTCACGCTTCCCTTTGCCAGGACCCTTTGGGTCCTTTCCTTTCTTGTCCTTGCCCTTTTGATCGCCACGTCCTTTGTCATCTCCTTTGCGCGGTGTGCCTTTGCCCCAGCCAGCTCCTTTTCGCCAGGTGTCCCGATGCCATTTTCCATCATCGTGCTGGCCATCCCATTGATCACTGCCACGCTTTCCTCTGTTTTGCAGCGCTATGGGAGCTGTGAAATACTGTTCTTTCAACTGTGCATCATCTGTCACCTCCCGAAGGGTCTCGCGCAAGGGGCGGGAATCACGAAAGGCTCTCTTGATCGCTTCTTTCCTCAACTCGTATTCATAGTTGAGAATCACCACCCATGGCGGTTTCAGTGGGATTTGATCCATCTTCCCGCCCTTCCCGGTGACCGGGACCTGCAGCAAGTACACCCGTTCTCCAAGCAAGTAGTTTGCATATCCCAGCCAAGCATCTGGCCCCATGCCTTGGAAAAAGATCTTGTTCTTGTACTTGGATGCCAAAAATGTCCACATATTGCCCTCAACTCTCAGCACCGTTCTCAGCTCTTCTGTATGTGAGGGCATTACCCCTTTGTTCTTCTGTTTGACGATCCTGACATGACCTCCAGTATCCACTGTCGTCTGTATCCCCATGGTCTTCACCTTCTTCTTGGATGTCACTTCAGAAAGGGCACTAGCGGTGATCTCGCCACTCTCGACCTCCTCAAGCTTTGCAGAGATGTAGTCGTCGGAAGGCTCGAATGCCTCCTCGAGCGTCCCGTGGGCTGCCTCATACGCAACCCTCATAGCCTGCTTCTCAGTCTGCGTCACTGGTCTGCTGACGCCCAGCATGCGCGCCTCTGCCCTCAACTCCGTCTCCTTGCTGGCGACCTCGCGCGATGTCTCCCAGGCTGAAACTACTGCTGCAACGACAGCTCTGCTCGCCTGGTCCGTGGCCTCCAACTGGTGATCATCTTTCAAAGCAGTGCGCACTTCGCCCCGTGTGTCAGCGTATGTCGAGAATCGCTTCACTGACTTGAAGTTTTGTCCCAATCGATACTGCAATCCCAAAGGCATACCGCATTCTTGGAAAATATGCACCAGATCAGAACTTACCTGCTTATCAAGAAAATCAAGGGCTTGGTCCTGGGTGACCCCTGTCGGCAACTCTGCTGGCCCAGGAGCCGGCGCCGCTCCGGCCATTGCACCAGGTGCTTCTCAGCACAGCGTCCCCGCACCTCAGCACATGCACAGTGGACCTATGAAAGAAGCAGAAAATCCCGGAAAATTCGAGCCATCAATCTGCGTACGAACCTCACAAGTGCACCTCCAACAGTGATCGCAACCCCGTTGCAGGAGGTCAAGCACTACAAGCTCGTCTAGATGCTGTCCCCTCCCCAGCAATCTCACTCTTTAATGCGTGCTCTCCTTCCGGCACGTCTTGCTCTAATCGAGCACTGCGCTCTGCTGCCTCCTGCAGAGCTTCCTACCAAGAATCCAAGAGTCAGGCGCCTCCAGCCCAAGGTGCAAATCAGAGATCCTGATCCTGCCCCAAGCCTCCAGCCAAGGGCCCGAGCCCAAGGCCTCCACCGAAAGGCTCTGGCTCAAGAGCCTCCTGCTCACCCTCAACAGTGTCCTCCGAGCCACTAGTTGAAGACTCCTCGCCTATCTCCACCCGCGGCTTGCACAGCTTACACATCGCATCAGCAATGCCCTCTCCAAGGTGGAAAACTGGAATGGTCTCGAGGCACCTCTCTCTCCGGACTGCACAACGCTTGGAAAGATGCAAACGTCTGAACCCTCTCCGAGAGACAGTCAAGAAGTACGGCGCCTCGTCCTCGTCCGGCTCTGCTTCAAAAGCCTCATATTCTCCAGGGAGCTTCGCCTCGAGCTCCCCTTCGGCAATCGGAACCCTCTCCGGGTTAACAGCAAAAGCAGGATATTGTCCCCCCAGCAACCAGGTCTGTTTGTGTCCATCCCATTGCATCACCGTATTTGCGCCGACGATCTCCTCGCCATTCAATCCAAGGTCATCAGCAAAACTCCTTAAAGTGCAAAGCAGCTCCTCCTCAATGTAACCGCCTCCATCGCCCCCCAATAGCAGTGTCTTGCAAACAGTGGTCTGGATCGCCTGGACCACCTGACGCGAAGTGAGGACGTAATCCTGTGACCCATGTTGAGCATACGCCCATCGCCCCAGATAGTCACGCCGGTCCTTTGATATCCCGATGGCGGCTGCAATGCTCACCACGAAGTGACGAGGACTGTGACCTGTCCAAAAGTTTGCGACGTCGCCAGGCAGCAGCAGCTCTCGTTTCACCTTCCAGGTTCCCATTTGCCTCACCGGTGTAGGCAACTCCTTCAGCAAACGCCTCAACTGCAAGGCGAGGCCCTCCGCGTCCATGTATTCTCTCTTTGGCTCATCCCACTCATTTGTAAAGCAAGGGCATAGAAAATCTCGCGCCCATGAAAATCGTTCAGAAGTCAGCAGCTTGAAACCTTCCCCGAGCCAGTCAAAGCCACTGAGTCCCACGACCCGAGAAATGAACCCATGCAGCTCACCAACCTTGCGCCCAGGTCCACTCGTCTTCGTCTTCCTAAGGATGAACCTCAGTCCGACCTGGCTCAGCTTCACACTGGCTGGATTGACGTTTTGCATATCATCTGCGCGCAGGCTTGCCCATACCATGACCAGCAAAATGAAAGCCATGAATCGCAACCCAGGTGGGTACAAAGGCCTGCAAACCACCAGCTCGCATATTAGCACGACTGAAACAGGCAACATTGCAGCTGCCTTCGGTGCAGCCTGATCGACTTCCAGCTCGGCTGTCCAAGACTTGATGCTCTCAAGCAGCAAGGGGTCCTCGCTAAGACGTTTGCCAGCCGGTACCATCCCAACGCCTTCCAAGAGTGAAAGGCTTGCCAGGATAGATTTGGGAACACTCTTTCCCATCCTGTGAATCTCATCTCTCTCCTCAAGATATCTCAAGATCACTCCAACATCCACAGGCCAAGAAATTCCCAAAGAGCCCTGCAACCAAGCCCTAACCGGCTTCCAAGCTCTCGCACGATTTCGCAGCGTTTTTCCCCTACGTCGTCCAAAAGCTCTTAACCAGAAATGATTGTCATTGCCCAGTGCAGCAATCCGCTCTGCAGCAGGCAGCTCTGCCTCCTGTATAATGGCGACAAGCTCGAGGGCCCACTTCTCACGCAACTTGTTCTCTACCTCCTCTTTGTCCCCATGAGCCCTAGCTGCTCTGATTGCACGCTTCAGCAGGGACAGCGCAACAGCAGGGGTGGTGTTGACTGCTTCTTCAAAAACCGCAGTGATATCCTTCTGGGAACGTGGAACACTAGCAGCGAACTCAGGTAAGCGTCTCTGCAAAAGCACTACCTCGGACGGCCTCCTCTTCAAGCGCGACTGCCTCCACGCCCAGAGCTCCTTTGAAATGTTTTCGATATCGCCTGCTGTCCTCTTTCCAGCAAGAAATTCCTCCACAGTAGATCTAGCCCCAGCTTCATCTTCGAAGGAACCATCAAACTGCAAAAGATTCTTGTACGTGTCAGAAACAGCAGCAAAAAGACCATCATCAATCTTCTGCAGTCCAGCCCAATTAGACATGTCGGAAAAGAGCTCACATCAGCCCAGCAATCCCCAACAGTCCATGAGCCGCAGGTCCCCTCCCCCTCACTAACAAAATTTTTTATGCTTGCGCCACAAAGGCAACGAGGCCTGACATTTCACAAGTCAATGCATGCTGCAAAAACCATCTTGTGTGCATCTGAAGAATCCGAAGCGAGAAGCAACTTTCAAAGGACTTTTCAAAGCACAAGTTTTTCCCCCATCCCAGCCCGCCCTAGTTCAAACAGAGGGACAATCCCGTTGGGGGAACCCAAGTGGTGTGTTCTATGGTGTCGGCATGTCGCAATATGTGTCCGAGATAAGAAATTCTGGCGGAGATGATACGCTGCGAGGGGGAAAGAATAGCTGGGGCGTGTTCATAAAGGAGGCCGGCAATGTATTCGTTGGAACATTGCTGGTCTGAAGGTGATAGGATTTTATGGTAGTACGACGATTTGAGGTTAAAAATCTGTCGTAATACTTGGTAGTGGAGCTTATTGAGCTTAGTGAGGTTAGCCTGGGAGTACATCTGTGACTCCGAGCCGTAAAGAAGAATGGCAAGCACTAGTTGGTTATGGACCAATAGTTTTCTATTAACAGAGATTGACGGGTGGCGGAAGAAGTCCTTCAAGGACTTGGCCGCCTGCGATGCCTGGGCATATCGCTTGTTGGTATCCTTTGTGGCAGAAGCGTTAGTGGTTAGAACCGCACCGAGATAGTCGGCGTGATCAGTTGGCTCGATTTTTAAGGAAGGGTCCGGTTTAGGATAACGAGCCTCAACACAAAAATCGCAAGTACATGGGAGTTGGTAGTTTTTGATTAGATAAATCGGAAGTGTGGTGTTGATGGTAAGCAAATGGCATTTTTCAATATTTAAGGACATGCCTCTTCTGAAAGCGAGGGACTGTAAGGTATGTAGTAGTCGGTGAAGCGCCTGTTGAGTACGCCAGAGTAGGACAGTGTCATCTGCATATTCTATGTCACAAAGGGGGGAGTCAGACTGAAGTACCGTAGGGAGAGGGCCAAAAGCACTTTTGTAAGTATCATACGTGTCCTGGAAAAGCACCGATAAGGTGATGATGAATAAATAAGGCGAAAGTGGGCAGCCTTGTCGTATACCTCTGGAAAATTGTTTGGGGGAGGATCGGGCGTTCGAGTCTTTTACTGCAAATTGGCAACCTTGGTATATTGAGAGAATTGCTGCCGTAAATGCCGGGTGAACGCCGATTCTTAGCAAGGCATTTTCTATCGCGACATGGGTGACGGAATCGAAGGCCTGCGCCCAGTCAAGAAAAAGGGCGTAAAAAGTTTCTTGGTGACGTTCGTGAAGTTCTATGAGTCGTCTGATAATGAACAATGGGGTTGAAGTGGATCTGCCTGATCTAAAACCGAATTGAACTGTGGAGATGCGGTCGTCAATTGCCGTTTTTAAACGATAATGAATCATGGAAGCGTAGATTTTATAGACGGTGTTGATCAACGAGATGGGACGATAACTTTCAGGAAGAGTGGGATCTTTCTTTTTGCCCTTGAAAATCATTATTACGTCGGCGATCTTCCAGCTGTCAGGAGAAGCAGCTTCCTTGAAGGCTTTGTTGAAGTGCGCGAGTAATGCTATATGTACTGATCGTGGGGCAAATTTCCAGAGCTCAGCCGGGACACCATCAGGCCCTGCGGCTTTGCGGTGTTTCAAGCGCGACAATGCGCGCTGAAGGTCTTGGTCATCGAAAGGAGAAAGGTCAAGAAGGGCCGGGGGAAATAGTAAGGTACTAGGAAGGGGAGGAGTAGGGATGTGGTTCCATACGTTAGTGGATAGATGATTCGCAAAAACCTGCGGTTTCTCTGTGGAGGTGGACATACGGCCATTGGGCTTACGTACGCCTTTTGTTTTGGGATTGTATGACTTGCGCAAGAAACGTAGAGTGGACCACTGTTTGGAGGGTGGACCGGTTGAATCTTGTAGTAGGTTGTCACAGGTGTGTTGTCGTTTTTCCTTTCTGGCTCGACGCTTAATAATTCTTCGCAGCCTTTTTAGTGTTTCATGCTCCGAAGGGGGGGTTGAGTGAACAATGTCTATGAGACGTTTGGTCTTGTTAGAGAGATAGGAACGCTTGTACTGCGTTGGTAGAGTTGGGGGGGGCGCGGCGGCAATTGCCGCACGTTGTAAGGCTCCTGCCTGCTCGGCTAAAGTGAGGTCCAAGAAAGCGGCAGGAGCCGGCGCTGTGGCGTTTTCCACTACTAGTGGTCGAACGGGCGGGGCGTGTCTGCCCCTTTGTGCATCAGTAGAAACTCCTCTACTAGCAAGGGAGTCAGCACGGTCATTGCCTTGTTGCCCGGAGTGGCCCTTTATTTTCAAAATTGATATGGGCATATGGGGGAGTAAGAGATCGAGAGTTTTATGAATGAGTGATAGTAGATACGTATGTTCTGTGGTGGTGGATAAACCATGTATGAGGTCAAGAGCGAATTGGGAATCTGTGAAAATGTTGAGTGACGAGATGGAGTGAGAAGTTCGGTGCCGAAGAACATAATCCAATGCTTCGAGAATTGCTTGTAGTTCACCTGAGTTGTTGGAACCGACGGGTGCTTGGGGAAGGTTGAGGCCTACTGGCCCATACGAGTCCAGATGGGCGCGTGCATCCTGAAAAGTGAACGCCCAACCTGCCGGGTTTCCTACAGCTACGTGGTATTGGTCTGGGCAAGAGCCATCTGTATACACGTCCGTGGCTCCCGGGATCTGATCGTGTTGGAGCATGGACTGCGTTCCTAAGATGGGGCGAGCGCCCTCAAGAAACTCGCGCGAAACTCGCGCTTGTCCTCTGTCGTGGCTGGGGGCTGAATTTTTGGGGCGGGAGGGTCTGCAGGCTTGGCAAATACATCGAAAGTGATTTTAACATAAAGTGGGTAGTGTCGATGGAACCAGGGAAGATTCCATTTAACTTGCGAAGAAATGGCAGGTAGATTGTGTAAATGGTGTCTGTGAGTCAGGATATAGTCTATGCATGAGAAATTAAGCGGGGTTGGTGTGAGTGGATCAGCGGAGGGTTCAGAGGCTATTTCGCGGTAAGTAATTCGTTTAGAGGCTGGGCGAGTATGGAATGAAGACGCGAGTAAAAACTCATTGTTGGCAAGGAATTCCGTAAGCATCTCGAAGTTGGACTGAAAAGTAGAGTCTGGGGAGCCTGGCGATGGAAAGGTCACTGGTCCAATGAAGTCCTGGGGGTCAAGAAGATCACACTCGTGAACACGGGCATTAAAATCGCTCAGGTATATTATGAGCGCAGGCTTAGGAAGGAGATCGTGGAGGTCCTGTAAGGAGGACCAAAAAGACTCCTTGCGAGCAGCGTCTTGGGCAACGTCAGAGAGTTGACTTGGCGCGTAAACCGACACTAGGTGGGTCTGGAGAGGTTGAGTTCTTAGAGTGAGGACTGCCAAACGGCCTGAGTAGGGGAGAAAATCAGAGATGAGTGGGACACTGGTGGGAGCGACGTAAAAGCCGACCCCGGCCATGTGCTCTTGCGGAGTTCCAGAAAGCAGAAGGCGGCCACCCTTGGGCCTGAGCTCATCCGAGGATTGCGACTTTGTTTCTTGGAGCGCTATTATATCAACGGAATGGCGCCTAGCGAACATAGCTAACGATTCGTGCTTGGCATGTCCTATAAGGGTTTCTATGTTGAAGGTGATGACATGTAGCTCGTTTTTCTCTGGTCTGAGCGGGAGTGTCCGCTGGGGAAGGTCGAGGCAAGAGCGCTGAACATATCTCTTGAACAGATCGGCTCTGGAGCCGAGGTGGGAGAGAGGGAATTGCGCGGAAAGGCGCGTTGAATTTGCAAAGGGCTATTCGTTACCCTTTTCAGGGGGAGCCGGGGGTGGACTAGGGTAAATTTTCCATCTCCCAGCACGTCTTGGATCCATTTACGGTAGTCGCGTCTAGATTGCGCGCGGTTAAGCTGATATTGAGATTGCCGGCGAAGCATAGCGTTAGTGGAACGTAGCTGTTGGTGTGTTCTTCCCCCTGACGCACAGCGAGATTCGTGGCCACTAGCCTGAGTTATCTGTTGTCTGTTGTACGCGCCGTGGAGCACGAAGAGGTTGCGCAAACAATTCTTGGGCTGACCGTGGCCCCCCGGCGTGCCGCTGGCGGCTCTCGCAGCACAGAGATGCGTGTATAGATTGCGGGCTTTTGTGCCATAAAATACTTGGTATTGGCGACGTCCTCTTCTATAAAACCACAGCGACAAATGTGCCTGACAATAAACGAATTTATGGATCATCATCCCGTTTTTGAGAGTAATAGGCCAGGAATGAAAATATGATGGCATATACTCAAACGACCTGTCTATGAGTGAGCAATTACAAATCCCACACCAAGTATTGCCGTTTACGGCGTGCTGGAGTCGATTCCTTTGTTTTCTCGAAAGGGCGAAAGCGTGCCCTGCTTTGGACGTGTAGAGAGCGAGCCCCTCCGGAAAATGGTTCTGGGTGTTTCGGCAAACTAGTAGGGTATCGCAACCTGCTTTAGAAAGGGCTCGCGGGAAGAGGCGCAGGCATTGCTGGCCTGCTGCGCAAGCTTTCCCTGGCTGGCCATGAAAGACAAAAGGAGGGAACCAAAAGCTAGCTCGGAGCACAAAGAACCTAGCAAACCCGAAAGAGGGGCAGGGGCAAAACGTCAAGGGAGGTGGGGCGATATTGAGTTCAAGAGCAATCTTTGTAATGTGCGGGGATATTGTTCTGTTAAAGGCAATCTGGCCCCCGAAGGGGATAATGGCAATCCGACCCCCGAAGGGGATATTGGCAATCATGCCCCCAAAGGGGGTACTGGCAATCAGGCCCCCGAAGGGCGTAGTGGCAATCTCGTTCCCCGTAGGGATAGTGTCAATCCGACCTCCGCAAGGGATACTGTCAATCAACGAAGCTCCCAAAGAGGGGAGGCAGGCAAGAGAAAGAAGCCTAGAAAGAACTCGTTCATAGTGGAACCACTTAACTCTAAACAAGGACGT